GATAACCTGAAATGCATAGCTGATATCTTACAGTGTAAGGCCGGTCGAACAGTTGAATTAAGCTTTAGGGATGCTTTCAGTGAGGAATTTGTTTCGTCAAATATGGTTCAACTACACCTTGGAACTTTCAACACAGCTTCTGCTACTTTTAACCTACAATCAGTCTACTCGGTAGAACTTCTCAGTTTTAATGCAATATAGGTTGCAAAACTGAACAACGTATGTTCTCGGTATAAACATCTATGATACATCGCGTTTCCAACTCTTTATGACAACTCGGTACACGTTCTACTAGGCGTGGACGCTTTCTGTCGTATAAAAAACTAGAATTAAAATAATTTTACGTTGAAATGTGTGGTCTCTGCTAGATTTAAGATTTCGAACTTTTTTTGAACGTGATTGTGTGGTCATCCGACCAATTGGATTTTGAAAGCTTGTTTAGTAACAGTCTTACACGATTTCCCAAAATAGCGAGATTCTGAACAAAATTCAAAAATTGGTTAAATGGCCTGAAAAATGAACAGTTTTTTTTACCATATTCCGGGGATGGGAATTGATTATATGGCTAAGCTTTTGTCTTTTAGTACGATTACTTCTGATTCTGATAATATGAAACCAAGTCATTCCATTTCTTTTTTCTAAAAATTAACCGCAAAATTATTGCCACTTATCCGCAAAATAGTCCTAAATAATCGAAATTTGTTATGCTTGAGCAGAATCGGTTTTTTGTGCTGAAACTGAAGGAGATGGGAAAGCTTGTGGCTGTGATATGAGTTTGTGCCTGGTTTAGTTGGTATGATTGAAATCGATGGTATTTGGGGGGTGCTGAGAGGGTAACGCGAAATATTGCTGAGAGGGTAACGTGAAATATTTATGCTTGGCTAAATTTCTCTACAACAAAGTTGTTCCAAATTGAATTCAGTGAGGCTAGCTAATTGGTCGTATTAAATACGTACGGCTATAAAAATTAGACACTTTGATATTGTCCAAAATTTATAGGTGTTCACTATTTTTCCCAAAAACTACTTGATATGAATTAAGGGGCAGTCGCAAAAATCAGAGCTTTGCCCTGATATACGAGCAGTCTTGTTGATTTTGTTATCCGTGTTTTAATCAAAAATTTTGGTTAAATTGAATTGGCTGATGATCATACATATAGGTTTTGCCTTTCAAAAAAATTGACAAACCCATGGTGGGATAACTTTCTTCCGTGAAAGGCTGAGGGATGATGATTCTGAGATCATTTGATTCGAATTGTGTTAGATTTAGAGAGTTAGTGAAGCTTACATTATACATGTGGATGAAAGCAGGTCTTTGACGAATAAACTTTTGTTAGACTTGCCGTGTGCTATTTTTTGTGCGAAACTTTTGAAAACGCGCGTTGAAAGCTGATGTTGTAGGTGCGATCGTTAGTTGTAGTTGTCATTTTACTCATGTTTTTTTAAATAAAGTTTCCAGTTTCGTCATGGGGATCAGTAGGAGCCTCGGAAGTGGCTGCGTCGGTATGTGGTCGATTTCGATTTTAATTTTAGAGGTTTCGATTTTAATGAGGAAGCCAAAAAAAACGTTGATTCCGAGGGAGCGATCATGATGCATTACTAGTGGAAGGGGTTGTTTGGAATTTTTGTATATCGTGAGGGTTTCTAGGGAAATTTCTGTTTCTCTAAGTAAGTAGTTTGTCGTTATTTCTGAAGGATGATGAATAGGGACTATGTTAATATCATACGAATGATCGAAATTATGATTGGTTTCAGAATCCTTGTCAGGGTTATTGTTAGAGTAAGGGTCCCGGAGAAGGCTGATGGGGATGTTGTGATTTGTTTTAACTGTTTTAATTGACCTTCGGAATTAATCAATACCTGTTAACTAATTTCGATACGAGTATCGGTCGATCGCAGTGTGTTAGTTCAGTTGTCCTTTCAGAACGTTTTAAATTAACACACTATCTTTTAATAGTTTTATTCCTTTAATTATCTGTAAATTAGTTGCACGTAGATCGTAGGTTTAGAATAGTTTATTATGGCGCAGTCTAATGATTAGAACGTGTGTGGAATTCCTCCCTTCTTGCCTAATCATACCTTAGAGCCACCGCATACCTGGACCCAATGGAGCGACCAATTTCAATTGGCGATTATTGCTAAAGAAAACCTGGATATAGAGAGCCTACACGGACCAGAGATTCCACAAACGCAAATACCCTTTTTGGAACAAGTGACAGGTAGCGAGTCGGACAATGAAGAAAAAAGGAAACTCAATGGAATGAGACGAACGGAGGAGGATAAAAAACTGCGCTCAATTTTATTCCTAGCCTCAGGGAGCGAAGGAAAAAGAGTCTTTTCACAGAAGAACCCGAGAGTCAAGATCTTAACAATCTCTCTCTCAGAGTTCTGGACTCTGCTTGACGCAGCATTTAACAAACCACCCCACACTACGTTTGAAAGATACAAATTACTAAGTCGGAAGCAGAAAGATCTAGAATCTTACGAGCAATTTTGGGAAGCCCTTACAGATCTGGCTAGTACGTGTAATATAAAGGAATCTGACGAGGTGGAGTGGATAAGAGAGGTTTTCATCTGTAATATGAGAAATACAGACACCCAGAGGAAATTACTTTCAGCCACCATAAGCCCAACGGAAGCACTTAACCAAGCATTGATCGACAAAAAGGGATATTTTAATCATCAAAAATTGACAAACCTGGCACAATCATCGACCAATAGGACAACTTTTAAATTTTTAACAACTGGTATCACGACACACGCTTGAACCTTCTGAGTGCCACAACTGCTTTGCAAAAAAATGCCGGATTAAATAGTGACAAACTTTGAAAATATTTTGCAAGAGATTGAGTTTTTGTTCTCAAAGTTTTTCGTTTTGTCATTTCGTGATGTAAAAATATCATTTCAGTAGAGTATTTTAGGGCCTAAGCTGGCTTTTTGGTTAGCAAGAATAAATAGCAATTTTCAACTTTTTTTTCATCCTGAAATTTTGTTTAATAAAGCAAACTTTTTAAAATTTTAAATTTTTTGTTTCTCGACTAGCGCTGCACTTTTATTACAACAGATAAAATTTTTGCGATTAGTTTTCCAAAAAAGTTTTTGTAACCTTTGAGAGCAAAACGATTTCTTTTTTTCTGGTCGGCTTGAACAATTTTCAAGCCCAGCTATGATATTTAAAACAATATATCCATTCATTTGAATCGAATCAGATTTTATTATTAAGCAATAAAGAACAGTTGTTTTTTTTTTCGTAGAAGTTTCTCAAATTTGAAAAAAAATTCCTCGTTTGAAAATAAGATTAAAAATAAAAACAACACTGCTCGTATATCAGGACAGATATCTAAGTGTTCCGACTGCTCCTTAATTGGTCTGTAGTAGTTTCTGGATACACTTTTCATTAAATTTAAATTTTTACATTGCTAATTTTGAATTTTTAGTCCTAGAATTTGTGTTGTATTGAAAATAAGTAAGACTGATTAGAATGCCTCATTTCGTTTTATAACAATGTTAACTCGAATTATTTGGCCATGAATTAATAATTCGATTAAGTTTAAAGTGGTATCATTAATAAAATCTGCCAAGTCTTCATAAACTAACTACTCTAGAGCTTGGCTAAACTAGTAATTTTAGACACCAAAAACTTAGCAAAAAAATTTTGCGGTTTAAATTATATTTTGATTATGAGTTCAGGTAATCACTTCTTTTAGAGTACATCAAAATTGCGAGCGAAAAACTTGAAAGTACTCTGGAGTAAAAAACCATCCAGCAAAAAATTGCGTCGCTTTCATTTACTAATGTTGAAAAAATGAATGAGAATAATAGGGAGCTTTTCTCATGACGGAGGGACCGAATGGTTGAAAAATTTCAAACAATCATAATCAACAGAATTCCTTATTCGCTGAACAGTTCTAACATTGAACCAAAGTCCAAAATGCGCAGAAATTGAAATATACAGTGCTGATTTAAATTATCCGGACAAAACGAATAAAACTTGAATTTTCAAGCACGCCTTTCTTAAATTGGGTTAATATTAGACAAAAAATGAGGAGCACAAAAGTTGCTTAGAACTTCATCAGAATTATTATGGCGAATTTTTTCAGAAAAATTCTCAACCAACATTTTACCCTAAAAATGGGTCATTTTGGCTTGGTCCGATTAATCAAGAATTACACTGAAACTACTTTGTTAATTGACGAGGAATATAAATCAAAATAAGCCTCTTACACAGGCCAACAAAGTTTTAGAGAAAATAAATCTCCAAAAATCTGTTTAGGAGAAAATGTTTTTGCTTGATAGTCAAGAAATGTATTTTTTTTCAACTAAAACCAAAATCTTTGCTTATCCAAAATCTTCAACTAAAACCAAAATCTTAACCCTTCTAGAACTTTGTGAGGCTATATGAGAGGTTTCTTATGATGTTTATTTTTCATTAATTAACAAATTAGTTTCAGCGTAATTCTTGCTCAATCGAATAAAGCCAAAATGACCAATTTTTAGTGTAAAATTTTAATTTGGTTCCAAAATTCGGACAAAAAATTCGGACAAAATTCGGACGTCAATTAGTCGCAAATCAAGTTTTTGATGAGAAGCGTAGTTACATTAGAGACATCACTCAACATACCTTTTTGATGTTCTCTCGATAGAAATAAATTAAAATTAAATTTTATGAAAGAATGTGTTAAGCTATGTCTAATTGATTACTTGAGACAAATTCATATGTTACATTCAAAATGCTGAGAAAAACTTGAGAATGGGATGATATCTCTTTTAAAATATTTTTACCATAAGTTTACTGATAAGCTGCCCCAAATAAAGATCTTCTCTTAAATAAAGATCAGCTTATGGTACCTAGGAAAGAATAACCACCCCTATAAAAAAAATTTTCAACGATTTCCCCTCCCCCAGGTAATGGTGAGAAACCGCCAAAGAGATCTTATGTTGCTTGATAGGTGTACCGAAGCCTGACATTATCTGGTGCAAAGATGGGAGAGTGCTTCGCAGTGGGTACAAACACAAGATGCTGGCCTAAACATACTGGAGATCAGGGGCATCAAGCTGGACGACCAGGCTACCTATACGTGCAAAGCGAGGAACTCACAGGGCCAGACAGTGTCCGAGTGCTTCCTCAAAATCGTCGGTATGATCAAATAAATATTCTGCATCTCTTTAATTACCCCTTCACGATTGCTTCTTATCTGCTCTACCATTGGCTGTTCATGAGAGCCAATGAGAGTGCAGAGAATTCAATTCAGAATTGATAGGTTTCTAGCGTTTTTGTTCAATCTCAAACCCAACTTCTACTCCAACTTCTACGTCAATAACAGCCGAAAAACCATGTCTGGAAATAGTACAGTGCTGATTTAAATTAACCAGACAAAACGTGTTAAAGTTGAAATTTAAAACGCGTTTTTCTCAAATTGGGTTGAGTTTAGGTGAAAACTTATGAAGACAAAACTTGCTTAAAATTTTTGCAGAATTAATACGATGTATTTTATTTTCCAAAATTAGGCCCAAATTTTTATCCCAAAAATGGGTCATTTTGGCTTTCTTAGTTAATCAAAAATTACGCCAAAAATACCCAGTCGATCAGAGCCATAATTATATCAAAGTGAGCCCCTTACCTAGCCCAACAAAATTTAAGAAGGGTATATTCTCCAAAACATTGTATAAGTTAACTTATTTTGCTTGATAGACAAAAAAGGTCGTTTTTACTATATAAAATACCAACTATTTATTTAAAAACAATTTTTAAACCGTTTGCAATTTGTTTTTGGAGAAAATATCCTTCTTAAAGTTTGTTGGTATACGTAAGGGCTCACTTTGATATGCGATCGACTGGTATTTTTTTGGCGTAATTTTTGATTAACTAAGAAAAGCCAAAATGACCCATTTTTGGGGTAAAATTTTGGGCCCTAATTTTGCAAAATAAAATACATCGTATTAGTTCTGCGAAAATTTTAAGCAAGTTTTGTCTTCATAAGTTTTCACCTAAACTCAACCCAATTTGAGAAAAACGCGTTTTAAATTTCAATTTTAGCTCGTTTTTTTCCGGTTCATTTAAATCAGCACTGTACATGCCTATCATGTGAGATAATCGTTCAGTGAATTAACCAATTGAAAAACACTTGTCTCGCAGGGATTAGAGAAATGGGTGTATTACGGGTAGGGAATAGTTGAACAGATCAAAAAAGTTTCTCTGTAGCCTCCTTTGGATCTACTTAACAATCTCCACTCCTTTTCGGGGGAGGGGGGATTATTAAGTAGATCCCCTCCTTTTAAGTGATAACTCGAGCTTCGGCGTTCTTACTTGCCAATGAGTGAGGAAAGAAGCCTGATTTTGCGATAGAAGCCTGGTTTTGCGATGGTGGTTTTTCAAATTAGTTGGATGCATAAAAAAAAATCATCTGCACATACGCTAGCCATAGTCATGAGCAGATATGAAATGTTTTCGAAATCATGAAACTTTCCAAAACATTCCCACTTGATGGTAGTCAATTTTGACTTTTTTAATCAGAAACGTTACAGCTTTGATTAATAAAAACCGATAGAATAGGGTTTAACCAAAACATCAAAAAAACTCGCGAAGCGCTATAGATGATTGGGAAAATAATTTATGATTAATTGCAACAAAAAAGTAGTCATAATTATTTCAGTTTGAAAGAATTTACGGTTTTGTCAAAATGAGTTTTTTTTATGTAATCATATTGAAGTTTATTACTTGAGCTTGAGGTCTCTATGATTCTCAGAGGATCTATTAAAAGCAATCAAGCCTGTCTAAACATAGTCCATAGTCAATTTCTATTCTAAATTGTCAAGTTTGTTATAATTATCGAACAAGATATAACCGAAAAGATCATCTAGCATGCAATAATGAAAAGTGTTTGTGCTGTTTAGTGGTCAATCGCAACTGCCTCCCCCTCAGTCCCCCCATGTTTCTGCGACCAGTGCTAGACATTGTGGTACCAAGTGAGGGACACACTGCCAGATTCGAGTGCCAAGTGCACCCTGGCTCAAACTCATCCGAACACACCACATCCTCCTCAAGCACACTCCACATGTAAGAATTTGGAAAGATTGTTCGAAAAAGTCAAACAAAAAGAGCTAATTGTAAAAAAAACATGCTATCCCGGGTTGACCAAAAAAGCTTGTCATGCAGTTTTCATATTTGAAAAAGTGCTTGTCATACAATTTTGTACAATTCTCTAGATACAGAAAATATTTAAAAGATAAGCATTTTTTCATATACCAAAAAGTTGATTTAAAAAAAAATTGTTTCTCAAAATTATGAGATGTGTTCGTGACCAAACACAAGTGACTTAAACCATGGTTTACTCAAAACTAGAGTCTCCAAATGGTTGATCGTCTGACATTTACAATGCATTGGAATCAACCTGAATTGTGTAAGAGTTCTCTTCACAATTAATATACTGAAATCATCACACTTTTAAGATTTTCGAAGATTATTTCTAAAAATAGAATTTTCAAATTATCAGACATTGATACAGGCATATATAAACATGCCATACAAAAGAAATAGAAGTTTGTAGCCTGTTTGAAAAAAGTTATACAGAGAAATGGAAAAAAAATCGAAATTTTATAAATCCAGGACTACGTTATGCAGACAAAAAATTAAAAACTCCTAAGAAAAAGTTTTTGGAAAATGTTTGATTGAGTACAAAATTCGATTTGAGGTTGAGAAAAAACGAAAAAAGAAAATGGGGCATTTTAAATTTTACTTCAAAAAAAATGCTAATCGCCATAAAAAAAAACACTAATCATACAATTTTCAATGATGGAAATTGTATGAAAACCATTTTTTTCCAGAAAAAGGAACATTGTTTTTTTTCATCACCAGACTGTTTTATTTGGTTCAAATAGCCGTAGAAACTAGCTCGAATCTTTTTTCAATGATTGTTTGAAATTGTATGAAAACTGTATGGTTAGCTTTTTCCATACATTTGATGTATCGAATAGTATGATAAGCCTTTTCGGTGAAGGAATTGAAACATGAGCATATTTGGTTTCTGGAGGTCAACCCGGGATTATTGGTCTGATTTTTGTAACAAAAGTAACGGAACAGTTGTACTCGGGCAGATTTTTTTTCTTCAGACCACTGTCATAAAACTAGCAAAACTGTGAAATGATGAAATAACTGGCAGGAAAACACAAAACCAAAACAAAAGGAAAAAAGCGAGAAAGCAAGAAGAAAAACCATGTTGCTACCTAAAAACAATCAAGTTCGGCCTTATTTTTCATATTTAAAGCTCAATGAGCCACGTCAAGAAGAAAATTTTTAAATGTTCAAACAAAAAAAAAACATTAAGATAGTTAGTTATTTAAATATACTTAAACACGGAACTCACCATCAACTTTCAAAAATGCTGAAGAATGAATAGAACCCAGAACGTTTTTTCCGACCACTTCATAAATTCCCTCGTCCAGTGGGATAACAGAAAGAATACTCAACGACACACTGCCAGACTCGAGATCATTCTTGAACGCAATGGAATGATTGGACTGAACTTGCTCGTTGTTCCTGAACCACTCGATCGAATCTGGAATCGGTAGTGCGAAAGAGCATTACAAGGTAACCAGGCATCCGGAAGATACTGTAACGTCGGCAAGAGGTTTAATGATCTCGGGAGGTACTCGCGGGAGTTCCGGATATGCCGAACGCATCCGGGGTGAAATTGAGCGACCGAGTGTCGGAGGCGACGCATCGGGACTGAGTTTCGAAACAGAAGTCTTGCTTGTTGTCGCGCTTAGTTTCTTCTCGGCAAAAACGTCGTCGGTGTTAGCTCCATACGAGTCTGTGTTCCTTAATGGCTGATGTTGTGTAGCGGTGACGTTCGGTGACGTAGCTGTAACACTTGGAGAAGAAGCAGAATCGATATCAAGAGGAGTTTTTGTAGTGGAGCTTGGGTTACTTGAATCTATAGACGCTGATGACACTTGCTTCTTCATTTTAAGGGTTTCAAAAATTTCATTTTCTAATGAAGAGTCCTCGCCTAGATTGTCAAAGAAACCTGGAGAAGTTTCTGGGAGCTCAATCGTTGGTAGTCCAGGAGTTTCCGTCGAAGAGATTAGTGAGTCATCATCCGAATCATCGTCGTCAGGAAGGTAATTCGACCCGAAAAACTTAAGTTTTTCAGCTGGACTCTGAATCTCGGAAGACATTATACCCAGAGCCCGTCGTTCGCCCAAACCCGGAGTTAAGGTTTTATCTGGATCACTTGTGGCTAATTTTTCGGAAGGTAGCGGGAGTTCTGGAGGCGAAGGTGACTTGTCGGGTGGTTCCTCGGGAGTGTCTCCGCTCGGTTCATTCGAGGTGTCTTCGACGTCTGGCTCTCCTTCTTCGGTGTCAGTTCCCTCTTTATCTTCATCGTTGTCGTTTTCGTCTTCTTCGTCAAACTCGTCTTCGTCTTCCTCTTCTTCGCATTCTAAAATAAAACAGAACAGTAATTAACTCTAAGTAGGAATTATTTAAAAAATTAAAATATCTAATAAGACTTTCAAGTAGAAAGACGTTTTTTGAAATAGTTATGGGAAAAGAACGCATAAATTTTATCAGGTAAAACATGGGATCTAGACTCTAAAACATGGCTCTAGACTATAAATTTTAAGTAAGGTGTTAAAATAATCACGGTATTTAAAACATTTTCTCTTGCTGTTCTTGGGCACAGGGAAAGTGTTTAAAATAAACATTAAAAATGAGGTCATACCACAACTCAATTAAAAGCACAAATAAAAAAAAATAGTCTTTGAAAATCAATCTGCGAAATTTGCCATGTATATTTGACTCTCGCTATGATTTTCTCCCGTTGTAAATAAGTCTGAAAAACTGAAGTAGTCAGACAAATTTTTATCGCCATTGAGAAAACCAAATTCGAAATATCTTTCCAAGCTCAAAATCACGCCAAAAAAAGATCCCACACTTAAGTCCCTGTGAGCTTTTTTTGAGGTAGTTAACAGCGCCCTGGGAACCCCATCATACATCAGAAAACGGTAAGTAGTAAGACGGTCGTAAAGT